AAAAATCCTAAAACATAATTTTTTGGTGTGTAGTTGCGATATTGGATAAACATTGATAAATAAATGCATTGACTTTATCTCCTTGTAAGTTTTATTTTCCGAGAAAAAGAGAATGATTTGTTCAGAGGCCGATGACGCTGCGGTCATTGTTGTGAGAGTCATGACTCGGTTGATGACAGGATATGTGTAAGAGTCGCCGTTATATCCTGATCTTGAAATAAACATCCACAATTGAAATCCGTATCGGTGTTATCAGATCAACATTTCGCGGAATTTTATTGTGATATTGAGGGCATGTAAGTGTTACAATGACTCTAGATTTTTAATCAGCTGTGTTATTCAACTCGTGAATCTGCCCAGTACACTTTAAACAATAAATAAATTTTGTTTCTTCTTTCCGTGTGAACGAAATTACGATTGAACGAGTAAAAGTCGCGATTGTTTGATACATGAGGAAATACACCGTCTGCCCCGCGGATGGGTTGATTAATCCAAAAAAATGTAGCGAGTCAAGTTGATCTTTGACTTGAGTCAAATCAAATTATTCGAACTTGAATCAAGTCAAGTCAATCAAGTCAAAGAATGGATTTGACTCAACTTGATTTTGAGCTGAATAATCGTAAAATAATTTCAATAATCAAGTTTAGCTGTTCGAAAATATTGACTTGAATCAAATAATCCGGAAGGTCATTAGAAATGACGGAAATATTCTTGATAAGGTAATTGTATCCAGATATTGCGAGATAACCAGTTGTCATCAGATTGATTCTCATCAGATCTGATAGCAAATTTATACTTATAACATATAAGCATTTCTTTGTTTATACAAGTATGTTTGATACTGTGCTGGGCCGCAATTGGAAAAACACCAATTGAAAACGAATGATGAATCTTGGAAGATTGAAGAATAATTGTTAAAAATTGTGGGAATGAACGAAGATGATGAAAATATCGATCAGAACTTGATGAAAGCCCCTCCTGGCTCATTTATTTACGCATAATAAATTTCAATATAAGAATAGATGGCAAACAATGTGCCAACGTGTCTGTGAACTTCGGATTAAATTTATTACAGCGGTAAATTCAGTTTCATTTCATTTTGCTCCACATTCTCGAAACTTCATTGTTACGCTGACTAAATATAGGCGATCGAAATCAAAGTGGTAGACTAGAACAAATGGTAGACTAGAAAATTAGAATTTTTGTCTTGGAGATTGGCGATGAGATTATTTCGGGGGTTTACGGGTACGATACAAGTGCTGAAAAGAGCACTTTTCTGTACGCCTCGCGCAAAAAAATTCTTTTTCGCCACGCCTGAACGAAAAGTTCGCACTTTGCTCCCTGATGAGCGGGACAAAGCGAGTACTTTCCGCCCTCAGGTAGAAAGGTGTTACCAAGCCGCAAAGCGGAGACTTTCCACCCTTGGGAGCAGCTTTCCACCCTAGGGCGGAAAGGCTTCACTTTCCGCCTCATTTATCAGGGAGCAAAGTGCGAACTATCCGTGCAGGTGAATTGAAAAATAGCAGGTGCAGGTCGGGCGGGAAAATATGACTTTCCACCCTTGTTGCACAATATACTATTTTCTCTCACAACTTCCCTGGGCGCCACAAAGTGCTGCTAGTGTCGAAATATAGCATTCCATTTGGGATGGAGGAAATATTTAGTTAAAATGTAGAATTAGAGTGGGTATTCACCATTTTTCCATCAACTCATGTAACATCTTTGGTGTTTCACGGTAGAGTGAGCATTGAGTTGGTCTTACTCGTGTCTTTGTTGCACAGTGGGCGCCGAGCCGTGTCTTATTGCGGTACCGAGGGGATCCGGAATAGTTTCATCTTCGATGGTTGAGTGTACGCCCCGTGGTTCTTGGAGTTACATAACAACCCTCGAGTCTCCGACTGGCCGTGAACTTAGGCGTCCGTACAAAACCAGCTGCCCAGCCCTTTCTTTTTTACTCAACTCGGTGCGCGTCATTATGCGTGAATGTAGCGTCATCCCGTTCGGTTGATGCGCCACTACAACTATTTTATTTTCACAGGGGGAACAAAGAGGTGCATGCCGATATCTTCGGGCTATGGTGCAGAACCGGTTACACCGGTTTTTCACTTCAATTTTCGACACCATTCGATTCCATTTATCTGCGGTACTCATCGAGAGCTTTTTTCCCGTTCTATGCAATACGAAAATTCTCGGAAATTATTCTCGGAAATTATTCTCGGGGATAATATTTTTTCGAAAAAATAGGAAAAAAATTTTTATCTCAAATTGAACTCATCATTCCCCGAAAAAAAATCGATAATATTGTCCTTGAATTTTATAATTAATAATCAATTACTGATTTGTAAAAACTCTTGGATTGTTACAAGTTGTTAATTAATTGATTATTCATTATTTGTTGGCCATTGATTAATTAACCAAAAATTAAAAATCCGAAAAAAATTGTGACAATTCAGTAAAACCCTAGGTTGATATGATTATTAAATTAAAAATTGAATCTTCAAATTATTAATAAAATCCGGTTCGCCTTTGTTCTTGATGAGTCGGATCTTCATTTCATCATCACACGGATGAGAGTTATATTATTAGAATCGAGTCAATGATTCGTAGTTCTTTCCTATTCTCCGAGAATTATATATAGAAATAGAATCTCCAAGAATCAAACAATACGAATCATTTAAGACCCAAAAAATGCAGACGGTAAAAAATAAATTGTTTTTTCAAAACCAAAAGTCCCAATTCAAAGTCCAGAAATCGAAACTTTTTTTTGCGGACATTTGCGGCGGTCAGTTGTGGGTCAACTTCAGATCTAATTCAATATAATATAAAGATACAACCGCATGTTGACATTCAGAACGCCGTTGTAGTTGTTCGCTGCATTTTCTTTATGACGAGTTTATTAATAGCGGCGTAATGATGATCAGGTGGGATTCCGCGCGTCAGTACGTTGAACCGACATTGTGGATGACGATTCCAACTTGTCATACACGAATACCAGACAATGACATATGTACCCCGGCTTCCAACCCTATTACCCAAAAATTACCACGAGGTTAAGCTCCAATGATTCCAAATCATCCGAATCGTCAAGATATTCCTGCAGAAAATGTCCATTCGATTTTTCCCTTAAACTCAGCCCAAGACCCGAATGTTTACAATCATTTTTTTCCGCATAAATAATTTAGATGAACATCCGATGGTTCTTGTTATTCATAACGATCGTTTTTGTAATTGATAAATAAAAATTGTAGACATTTGTAAGAAAGAAAATGGTAAAGAGAAGAATGTGATAATTCGAATGATTTTATTGGAATTGTCGCATGAGTTTCTCGAAAACTAAGAGAGTTAGTGAAATTTTCCTAATGACCTCTTTTGTCGATCTCGACTAGTTACACAAAAAAGGATATGACGAAAATTTCGCTATTTTAATTAGATTTCGAGATTTTCAGTGAAAACCGGCGGAACCGGTTTGCCACTTCGACAGATATCAGACGATTTTACTGAATTTCCAAAATGAATCCGGAATTCCAGGAGTAATTTACTTGAAAATTGATTTCCAGATCGGTATATTAAAAATCCAAGTATATTTATAAACATAAAAATACAGTCGGATCCAATATATTTCACTTTCAATCCAACATCGACAAAAAAAAATCGATTTCTATTCGATTCTAGCATTAACATTAATTAAATAGAATAATCTCGATTGTTCTATACCAGAATCAAGTATACAATCCGCCAAAATCAAGTAGAAAGCGCACAGGATTCAAGTATACTTCTTTCCAATATTCGGGGAGAGCGAGAAAAAATGGAACTTTTTCAATCGTCACTATTTCATAATCGGTAGAGTGAAATCGAATGATTTTTTTTTCATTTTGAACTTCTCCTCTGAACCTTCAAAATGAAAAAAAATCATTCGATTTCATACTGCGGTTACCGATTTATTCAAATCGGTACATGTGCCCTAGCCACCCCTAGCTAAATCCACATTTCGAACAGTCCAACGCTCTGACATCCGCTGAATTTACCAGCACTGATTTCTCAGTGAAATAAATTGATCTCTCTAAAAGTAATACCCCAGAATTTACATTGGCGCATGCGTGGGAATACTTGGTGACTCGATAGTCGCACACAAAGTTTTCAATGTCTGAGAATCTGAACAAAGAGCAGAGACTGCTAGGGAACGCACGCGCCACCAGTTGGGGTCCATGACCGAGAGGATGTGCACAACGAACTGATGAACAAAATTATCGCAAATTAATTATCACTCGTAAACAGCACAACTCGGTGATGACTGATTATCGTTGACGCTATCGGTTGATTCAATTATCGCGTTTTCTGAGAATTTGCCAATTCGATGTTTTATGTAAACGTAAATGTCAAACGTAGATGTCAAAATTGTACACCACAATTTAATTCATTAAAAGAATAACAATAAATAATAATTGCACTGCCATTGAAACTTGAAAAATTACTAGAATACTTTATCGATGTGATTTCCTCAATATTTTTTTCATCATTTTCGCGAGGGTAAATATTAATTACGACATTGAGAGATAACTCGAGTTACTCCCAAAGTAATTGCAAAAACAATTGCTTTACACGAAAGCCCGCAAAAAAAAAATATCATCATTTCTAAATTTTTCTCAAATTATTCCGCCTCAATGACCAAATTAGCCTTTCCCGATTTTCCGGAAGTTTTCCCTCCCATTGAAATCTATCCAGCCGCCACTCACTATAAATTCTACTCTACCGAAAATCCGATTGGAAAAATAATCCGTCAAATACACCTAAAGCTTAAAAATTAATCTGACATTATTTTCAAGCTTCCTGTCCTCGGACCGCCTATTAAATTAATCAGATAAAAATCATGCATTGTCCCCTGATTTTTTAAACAGCGAAATTTCACAATCTTAAACTATCCAGTAATTGTGAAACACCAGTGGTACAACTGGTGAATATTTTTCTGCTAGTATTCGATAAGAACGGCTGGTTGAACTCACCAAGTTTAACAGCAAGATTATATCTCTCGAGTGCCTGAGCCGGATGTCCATCCTTCAAAAGGAGATCACCTTCATGTCTCGCCCTGGTAGCCTCGGCCTCCCTGGGCCACCACTTCTCCACGAGTCTCTGAACCAACACATTGGTCTCCCCAACATCTCCAAGTTTTTGTCCACAAGCCGCACAGCACTTGCCCCCCTCGTAACAACTCCTGCAATGCGTATGTCCACAATAGCCAGTAACCGGCAAATGCAACGTACCCTGACAGCTGGCACAATTGAATGAACCCAGATTGATCTTCCTCTGGGTGAGCCCCACCAAATCCTCAAGAAGAGCACTAGCCAAATGCTTGAGTCTCTCCTGAGGTACAGCAGCAATTCCCATACACCTTGAATAAACATCAAATGCCTCCCTAACTCTTCCAGATCTAGCCAACGAATCCCCATACCCCAGGAGCACCTCCAAATTCGCTCCCTGCATCTTCAAACTCCTCTCATACATCTCCACAGCCAATCCATAATTACTCGAAGCAAACGCCTCCTTCGCAACGTCCGTCATAACTAATTCTCCCTCAAACTGTTTTTCCAATTGAATATACAATAATCAAGCACAACACTCAAAATCCTCTCTGTAAAATCCACTTCCCGATGATTTCAACAAATTAAAACCACCGTGCATCTTTCCAACCCTCAATTCCACTCTATTTATCTCAATAACGATTTCATCGATTTTGGTGCTCACTAGGTTCGGGTCACAGTTTTACGTAACGCAATGAAAATTATGTGTCACAAAATCGCGTGTATTTACATTAACGTTTTGCCTGTTTATTTTTTTTTTCAATTGGGGTGGGTGAATTGATTAATTGGGGTGGTTTTCGATGGGGGTGGGCAATTGATTTTTCAGGAATTTTTCGGGTGTTGAGTTGGCGTTTGATTTGACAGTTGAGACCACGCGGTTTAGTGTCAGTGGGCGTTGTTGTGTTTAGGTAGTTGGTGTAAGCTCATGCCAACTGACGTCTCGGCTGTCAGTGGCATACTGGCGGGCCAGTGTCAGAACAGTCATGAGCCAAGTTGAAATCGAATGTTATAGCTTGGAGTCCAGAGCCGCCGCGACGGGCTTCGATGGTAGCGCCATCTTGTCAGGATTGGCTTTTTTCAATGGGAATTTTTGACGGGGCATTTAGGTACTAAAGAACACACGATTGGCCGACCACACCCCCTCTCCTACTACTTTTTTTCTTTTTTTTTTTCAAACAAGTGGTGAGAAATATTCAATTGAAATTGCGGGGGAGGTATGTACCGCGCGGAGAGATTTATATTTTTGAAAATATAAAAAATATTTCATTCCTGGGTATTTATGTAAGATAAATACAGGGTTATGTAATGTAGAATGTATGGTATGGAGTGTTTTTTATATGTTCTTGATAAAGTGGGAAATGGAGGGAATTCGTAGACTTTGGGGAAAAACATTCTTATGTTTTTTCGCGGGGTGTTTTTTTTTTTGTATAGGCGGAAAATATTTATTTATTATTGATATGTGTAGTCTACTAGGCGGCTATATATCAGATATATACTGAATATATAAGAACGCATAAACCATGTGATAAAAGTGCGATAAAAATTATCTTTCATGTAATTTAGAAATGAAATATAGTTTTTTGGTTAATTGATTTTGGTTTGAATATTAATTGTTTACAGAAGGGAAGGAAGGGGTTAGATAATAAATAGGGGATTATTAATCTTTTCGTTTTCAATTATTTATCGTCGAGTCCAGATTTTTGTCGACAATATTTCCAAGAAATCATTCGATTTAGATTTATTTCAATTTTTTTGTAATCGTTTTAAATAAATTTTGGATAATAAAAATGGGATGACAAAATCTTCATGTCTTTCAGTTTATTTTACTCGGTTTTTTATTAGAGATAAACTTTCCGGGGAAATCGTCAATTTTCCGAGAAAATAGTCATATCTCCGTTATTATGACGAATCAAATTTTCCTGACGAACAGATGACTCAGATTAATTCCCCCGAGGGTAAAAAAAACTAGAATAAAAATTCAAATGACGAAATTTCGGCGCACAATGGCGTGATAAAATTCTGACTAAAATTCTTCAACAGAGAACTCGAAATAAAATAAAAATTATTCCATTTACTCCATTGTTTTCCCCTCACGCGATTATATTTCGGATTGTTAATATCAGCCTCCCGTTATCAGCTCTCTCAATTGATCGGATAAAAAAAAACCACGGACAATAAACAATTGTACCAAAAGCGTTTTTCAACGGTCACGTCTTTAACTCGATAAAATAATTCTATTTTTACATTTATTGATTTTTTTCTCGTTGAAACAGGTCAACAAGGTCTATATGAATACATGAATACTCTCCATTCATGTTTGAATTGCTTGAAAATATGTCTTGTGATTTAAAATCCTCCATTTATTCCCCCGTGAATTAATTAAAGTTTATGAATTCACGCGATGCAATTTTTATTCCATAACTCACGATGAACAGATATCCACTCGATTATATTATTTTTCCGAATAATTATGCAAATTTTCATTGATTAACAGTCAAATAAAAAATACGTTTGACGTGATATACGGTGTTCGACATCGAGTCTCCTGTAATTTTTTGTTGTTTTATGTAACGCCTCGAATTTCCTCGTTTAAACCCGACTACTGTTATAACAGGATGATCACTAATATAATTAGATTCAATGTTACGTGGATTAACTTCGTTTTGCTGGTGATAATCGTGGCTAGTTATCGGGGGATATTGTTGGGAAGTACTTCTGAGAACAATGAGAGCTCAAGTTTTTACAGGCACTTGTGCTCTGCGTTTCAAGTCCTGTTGTCGGTGATAACAGATTAAATCCTCGGAAGAACGTCATAACTACTGATATATTCAATAATCAGAGAGGATTATGCAAGGATTTTGTTCGAGTCCAGATATTGAAATTTTCACATTAAAAAACGTGAGCGTAAATTCAGTAGCGAAGAGTTTCCCGAGTCCGGTTTTAGGCCGATATCTCGAGATTGGGGGAATATAGCGAATTTTTTGTATAAACATTTTTTATAGAAAAAAAAGAGAGCTTTAAAAAAGGTATTCATGGAAATATCGGTATTTTCCTTCGATTTGGAGATATCGGGTAGAAAATCGCCTTGAAACGATGGATTTATCCTGGTTTATCATTTCGCCACTGAATTCTGCGATCTGCTTCGTAAAAATTAATTATCAGGCTCATGACTCATTCTTGTATTGACAACAAATTGTTCCGCCATTTTTGAGAATAAAATTAAGAAATTTTACGGGACAGAACGTAAACAATAAAAAATTATTGAATGTTGAATTTTTTATCTTTCAGGCACAAAAAGGCGCGGATTGTCGGTGAGATTTGAATTGTTCAGATAAAATTACGGGACGATTTCCCATTTATCTGCATGAATTCCCCTGAATTTTTCCGTAAATTTCCCCTGAATATTTCTGTCCGTCAAAATACAATTAATAAACCCAATTGAATTGCATTTCAATTAATTTTTTTCAGTAGATGATTTCGCAATTTCGGTCAACTCAGGCTTGGAGAAACGATAATTAAATAAACAAATGGCCGATCCGACGCCACCCGAAATCTGACATTCGACGACACCTCGACCTTCCGAAAAAAAATGTCAATTCCCAACATTGACTTTGAAAGTTCTAAAAAAAATATGTAAACGCAACGTTTAATCTTAGCAAGCGCATACGTAGGATATATGTAAGAGCGAGAATTTATCTTGCGTTATATAAGCTATTTGTGTCGTACAAAGAGTCACCTTTGCCGATCGCAAAACAAATTGTTAATCATCGAAATAAGGCGTATCTTATGGATTACGTAAATGACATTCTTCCAGGACACGATTGGAGCTTTCGTCGAGTACCCGCGATTATTCCGAGTTGACTCGAGACAACGAACTGACAAATTCACTAAAAATCAGTCACTCAACTCAAAATCGGCAGTAAAATTAAACAAAAGGTGTGAATCGAAAAGTGCAAACTGAAATCGTGCGAATCGTCACGTAAATTCAATGATTTATTCCACAAAATTGATTCAGTCATTCCAGCGGGGACTCGATCATTTTTCCTCAATGATTGAGACATTTTAAGGAATGATTACGTTAATTCAGCGGGAATTTTTGCAAAGAAATAAATCATCGGATAAAAAAAAGAATTCCATGGACAATTCACTAGTCAACTCGAATCATCGAGTGCAGAACGAATCAATCGTTCAATGATATGTCACTATTTATGTAACACCTTCGCGTATTGAGAAGATTGATAACCGCAGTATTTTATTTTTCTCTTATTATCAGCATTATCTTAACTCATTTGCTCATTTTTTTCAGCATCTGAATAATTATTGGGGCTGGATAAATCGGAATTTTCGATTTCAATTTTTCATTAAAATTTATTGAACTGCAAAATTCGTAATTGAAAATAACGAAAATATTACTTCAGGTGAATTTATGAATTGAAGAGAAATAAAATGGAAGTTCAAGGCGAGATTATTATCAATTTCGTTCGTAATGATTGTGATATTTTCATTGACTCTCATTGATGTCTTTAATTAATCAAATAACTATATGAGGAAATTCAAAGATTTTTTTTTTGAGTTAATAAAACAGGATATGGCATTACAAATGAGATTTTCTGACGTCGGTTCCGCAAAAAGATTTGTTTTGTTTCGATGATTGTGAAAAAATAATTTGATGAGAATAATCTCGATACTTTTTTGAATTTGTGTACCTTTTAGTCACTCTCGTAAATACGAAAACATCGCGAAATGTCAACGAAGTTCTTCATTGCCGCATGATTGCACAAATCATCGGAATGCTGTATTATAAACTCAATTCATGATACAGTCAAACAAGCGCAAGTTATTTTAATTTGAGAGAGAAATATCTTTTTTTCATTAAAGAATTGAAGTTGTTATAAAATTTGCTCTGACATTTAGTACTCGGGAGCGCAGTGGCTCTAAAAGAATTTTTACTCTCACATTTTAGTAAAAAAAGATGAAATTGAAGAATTGTAATAGTCGTGTCCAATTTTCACGACATAATCATCATTTTTCATCATCATCATCATCATTCGAAAAAGTATCATTTTTACTGCAATTTTTTTATTGTTAACTCATCTCGCAGAAAAAAAAATTGCGAAATTACTTGATTTACTCATCAGTCTATACACGCATCTAGTTGCATATTATTGCATAAATTATTGAAAGATCCTATTGCAAATCCGCTTCGCATTGCCGCCAGAATAATTACGTGGATTTGGTCTAAACATTTTCCAGTTCTTTCAAGACAACAAATTTGAGAGATTTAAATAGCGGAATTGGTTGGCGCGTGAAACAACATAATATCAAAATTATCTGATGACCAATAAAAAAATTCCCTGTTATCAACAAGCCGAACAACAAATGATAACCGAATAATTTTTGTTCAACAAAAATAAAAGAAAGAAATTTATTCTCTAATAATGAATATTGTGAATTGTTTAACTTAATTTTATTGTTGTTGCCAATCGTTAGTTTTTTTGTAATGGCGAGAAAATGGTAGAATTGCTAGGGAGCCCTTTGGGTTACGTATTATTGCGCAAATCGGATAAATGTTGTCTTGGAAGTACGACTTCATTGGCTCGCAAAAAGTCAGCAACGTACAAAGCATCGCAGTACGACTAAAAATAAAACGGGACTCAGTAAACACCCCAGGGAGAGGAGGAGGGCAAGCCTTTTATATAATGAATGAGTGTGAATATCTGGTGAATATGCGCTTTGAGTTTCTGAGGAGGCGCCTTCTGCATTCAGGCAATTCCGAGACCAATTCCCGATCTCTTCGCACCACTCTGCGTTCCTCCGAGATAAATAATCACCAAAAATCGCCAATACTTTTTTTTTCCGTCACTCGAAAGTGAAAAGAAATTTTTTTTTGATTAATGGGACCATTACGAATTTTTTTAGACGGTTTTGCTATTTTTTGGGAAAATTACGATTCGAGAA